TTGACAATGAGTTCAGAGAGAGAAAGAGTGAAAGTGTAGTAATACCTTCAGGGATAGCTCTGACGATTTTCCGACCAAACCTTACAGAAACCAGTGGTTTCTCGGTTGGGAAGGAATATTCCGTTGGAACCTCCGTCGAATCCCTCCGCTGCGGAGTCCAAGTCAATCTAGAGATAACAAAATCATCCTCGTCATACTCCTCCGGAGCTTTCGTCAGAGGAGTTTCAACCTCCGGATGATCGCCGGTGCCGAAAAAGGAGAAGATAACTCGGGTGAAGGGAGAAGAACGAGGGGGTCAGGGGACGAGCTAACGGCCGTTCCATTAGCCCCGCATGCGGGATAAGCTAACTGCGTGCGAAGGGACAGATGACGGACGTTCGGCGTGTGAGGCATTTGTGGGGCGAGAGTCTAGTAGCAGGTGGGGCGCAGATTTGAACTCCGAATGAGTCTAAGTGCTCCGTTGCAAGTGGTAGAATGGTAGCTGGCATCATTAGTTCACCAAGCCTCAGCCATCATCAATCTCGTCATCTTATATATTGAAATAAATCGGCAATGGGACAAAAAGCCGTGGAGGTTTTTGATGGTATGGAAGCACTTAATTGGAAGGTTGTTTGGATGTTGATCGCTTAGCGAATTGATTCAAACTATAAGAAAGTGGATCAGAGAATTTAGGGTGGTTAATCTGACGAGGTCGTTCTGATGCTTAAATTAGTATTGTATTCTGATAGCAAGCTGAAATCTGAAATTTAAGTAAGTTAGTGAGGAAATAATCGTAAGTACATTTTGTTATGGGGGCTAATGCCCTTATATAGTTGGTTTACCGTGAGTCTCACGAAACCTCTCCGAGATCCTTGGACTGAGCAGTAGGAGTCCGTTCCACTTTGGAAGGTGGGTAATGTGTTGGCCGATAAACCTCCTCGTGTCCACCTGAATCGGGCGGGATGAGGATAAGATCTACAGATGCGTGGCGTGATCTGAAAGGCTCGAAGACAACTGGTGGTCTTCTAGAATCTACTACGTGTCACCTCGAAAAATACGGGCATTCGAGATACCCTATCCTCGGAGCAATCCGAAGTGATTGGGACACCCGAGGTGACCGGTCTGTCAAGGTGGTCAGAAGCGCTGAGTCATCACCTGGCTGGCAATTTTCGTTCACGTGTCMTCTGTTCATTAGGTTCGGGCCAAATCACCCCTCATCAATTTTTTTACCTTTCTCAATGTTGCCTTTACCTTCCAAACCTGCGAATATCGAAAGAAATTGACGAAGTTTCAAGAGCGTGATTTCAATACAGTGAAAACTTTTCTAGAGGGGTAGAAGGTGGTGTCTCAATGTACATACTCCCTTCCTTCCTCTTTCTCTCTCTCGACCTATACTTTCTCTCTCTCCCCCCCCCCTTTTCTTGTTTTATTTTGAAAAAGGAAAATTCTCGATTAGTACCTTATATTTTGGCTCAAGTGACAATTTGGTTTTCGAACTTTAAAATGTGATAGTCTAGTAACCAAACTTTTAAAATGTGACAATCTAGTATTCGAACTTTTAAAAATGTGACAATTCAATATCTGCCGTTAACCAGTCTACTAATCCTAGCCTTCGAATGCCATCTAATTCTCTTTATCAACCACCCAAATGTTGACAAAGTCTTAAATCCTAGCCTCTTGTATTCAAAAAAGTCAGTGACTGTTTAGAAGAATCTAGAATTTGGGACTGTTCATTTTATTGTCAATGTTTGGACGGTTGATAAAGAGAATTAGATGCACTTTTAGGGCATTTTTGACTTTTCAAATGTCACTTAACGGCTGATTAACGAACTAGTTAACGACAGGTATTGGATTGTCACATTTTGAAAGTTCGAGTACTGGATTGTCACATTTTGAAAGTTCGGGTACTGAATTATCACATTTTAAAGTTCGGGGACCAAATTGCCACTCGAGCCAAAGTACAAGGTACTGATTAGGAATTTTTCCCTTTTGAAAATTTGAAGGAGAATAAAGGATAAAATAGTTTGTTTGCCTTTTCATTAATGGACGTTAATGGCGAGGAGGTTTTAGACAATCGTTAAAAAACTTTGTGGTACTCTAAGGCGATATGTAAATAATAAGGGTAGAGTTAGTCAATTAGTTAAACCATTAATTAATCTCCATTCTCTTGTTTTATCTAAAAAAATTGGCATAGTTAGCTAATAAGGATTAATACTATCATTTTAGTTTTGAGGAACAGTTAAGTATTCATTATCACTATCTCTCTCTTCCCTTATTAAGGGTCTGTTTGGTTCATAGTCAGAATCAGAATCAAAATCCTCTGGAATTGGAATCGGAATGGTCCATTCCCATAATCAGTTTGGTTTAGACAAGAATGGGGATGGGAGTTAAAATCAGCAAGAATGGGATTTCGTTTCCAAGGGAGGGGCARGGAATGACCATTCCCTCAAATGGGGGAGTGCCATTCCAACAGGAATGGGAATGGGATTCCAATTCCRCCCAACCAAACAGTTGGAACCGGAATAACCCATTCCGGTTCTGATTCCAGACCCCTATTCCCAAAAACCAAACAGGGCCAAAATTCTGCTTCTCTTTTAGTTCTCTTTGAATTCATATTTAACTCTATGTAATAAGATAGAGATATAAATTTGATGAGTTATGTCAGGTTAAGGCCTAAGGATGGCATGCGTTCGGTTTGGGACGTTTTGTAAATTTTATATGCTAACCACCTTCTTAAACCTCCCAACTTGTATATGTTCCAAAACCCATAGTGGTTTGATTTTAAGAATCCAAACCCTCCTCACATATAAAAATGCAAAATCCTTCCCAGCCTTACCCTCCTTGCACTCAATGGTAGGGAGGATTGGGTTTAGAACCCATATCTAATTTTCTATTATTTCTTATTATATATAAGCAATAAATAATTAAAATAACACAAAACAAACATCAACATTTCCAAATATTTGATTAAGACATATAAAATATACAAACTATTAATTGTCCTTTAGATAAAATTTAAAACATTATTAAATTCAACACCAAATACATGAAGCCCATATGTTTTCCATCAATATGCAAGTTGGGGGGTTGTATTTAGTGTAACACCATACCCTACTTATACTTGTACGAGTTATAAAATCCCAAAATCCATTCCCACCCCAAAATCCATCCTTCAATAAAAAAAAACCCATCCTGGCAAAACAAATGCCCACTAGATAGGGTAGAAATCGTCATCCCTATTACGGCCCAACCCTAAAATATATAGACCTCATGCATGTACCAACACCAAAGTTAAAGCCCAAATTTATCAATCCAAACCCACCTTTAGCTAAACCTAACACAACTTATAATGGGATTGAATGGATTTAGTTAAGATTGGATGGATTATTCAAATATAGAACCTTTATTGCCTATGTTTCATATTTTGGGTTTGACTATGATATCAAAAAGAAACTCTTAACCAATCAACGACTGTCTAAAGCCTAGTAACCAATCAGGTGGTATGATCAAGATTGATTGGAAGGTTTTGATTGTTAATAGCTCTTGTGATATCATGTTTATCTAATATAGATTTCCCCTCACTTTTTAGCATTTATTTTGGTTTTATCGTAAATTAGATACCATTGAAATTATAAAATTCAAATTAATCTATCTATTAAGATTTTTTTGGTAGGACCTATCTATTAAATGTGATGTATTTTGTTTTTCTTCATCTCTTATTTTAATAAAAATATCAGTTATATATCACTCATTTTGGATCTTATATAGCATAGTTATTGATGAAGGATGATTTGATCCAACCTATGAAACGGTGACACGTAGATGTTGACTTAGCATGAGCGACAGCCCAGCGTTGAAGCCCGGTGCGACCAAGTGACGGGCCTATGAAGCAGTCCGCTACGTTACAGCTCACGAGGGGAGGAGTCCGCCGCAACGCGAACTCCGGGTTCCCCATGCTATCTTTGAAGAGATACTCCGAGGCAACTATAGCTCGCGAGCTAAAGTTATTAGCTCGCCCGAGCTCCCTAGTAGACAAGTCATTCCGAGGACCACTTCCATTAAGGGTAATCCTGGAGTGTCTCAAGCTCGCCACAAAATAGCTTGCGAACGAACCGCACTAGCACTCTTCAGGAAGCTTTCGACTGATAGACCGTACCGGTCAGACTGCGCCATATCCTCTACTGACGGCGCAGTCCCAGTCCTTTCGACAGTCTGCGTCCACRTCTCTCAGCAGACAAAGGCGTGCTTGCCACTTTGAAAACATGTCACTCACCCGGGCGAGGCGTACGCCACAACGGCCACCTGCGCAGCCCTGACAGGTAACGGCTGTGGCAG